ATAAGAAACATCTTTGCCTATCCAAACTCTATCAGGAACATCAAACTCTAAAGAAACACATGGAGTAAGTTTTAATACATGTGAAATTATACTCAAAGCCTCACCTCAAAAGGATCTCGGTAGCTTTGCTTGTGAAAGTAAACATCTTACCCTTTCGACTAGTGTCTTGTTCATCCTCTCAGCTAAGCCATTTAACTGAAGTGTTTTGGGAGGTCTCTTTTGATGTTGGATACTCTGTTGCTTGTAATATTCATCAAAAGGTCCAGTATACTCTCCCCCGTTATTAGTTCTTATGCATTTCAACTTCTTTCCAGTCTGTCTCTCAACTGAAGCCTGAAACTGCTTAAAAGAATCTAATACTTGATCTTTAGTTTTCAAGGTATAAATCCAAATTTTCCTTGAATAGTCGTCTACAAAAGTAACAAAATAAAGAGAGCCACCAAGTGATTTTGTCTTCATAGGATCGCAAATATCAGAATACACTAAATCAAGAATACCTAACTTTCTTGAAGGAGGGGAGCTTTTGAATGCAACTCTATTCTGCTTTCCTGCTAAACAGTGAGCACACTTCTTCGGTTCTAAACTTTTCATCCCCGAAAGGAGCTTCTTTTTGGTCAATATTGACAAACCCTTCTTACTAATGTGACTGAGCCTCTTGTGCCATAACTCAACTGTTTCTCCATTGTTTACTGCATTAATTTTATCTGTGGACAACTTTGCCTACATAATGTACAACGAAGAACATTTTTTACCTCTAGCCAGAATCATAGAACCTTTAGTGAGCTTCCATCAACCATCACTGAAGGTGTTGTAATACCCTTCATCATCCAACTTACCTGTGGAAATCAAATTCAAACGAATATCAGGTATATGCTTAACATTATTCAATACTAACCTCGTGCCATTGTTAGTCTCTAGGCACACATCACCAATGCCTACAACTTCAACAAGTCCATTGTTTCCCATCTTCACAGATCCAAAGTCACCTGACCTGTAAAATGTAAAGAAATCCCTACGAGATGTAGCATGAATAGATGCACCACTATCAATTACCCAACTGATCTCATGGCATACAAAATTCACTGCAGCACCATCAAAGACAATGAGAAAGTCTTCCACAACTGCAGCAGCACGATTGTCATCTCTGTCATTATCACTTTTCTTCTCTTTACTTTTCTCTTTCTGGTTTCTCTCTTTTCATCTGACGACAAAACCTCTGAATATATCCCTTCTGATGGCAATAATGGTACTCAACATTTGCAAATTTATTGTATTTGCCTTTGCTTTTATCTCGGTTTTTATCTCTATTTCTCGTACCTTGAGTCTCACTTCTTCCCCTTTTCTCAACAACCAAGGCATCAGAATGTGAAGAGGAGGATCCCTGTGTCTTTCTTCTCATCTCTTCATTTAAAATACTACTCTTGGCCGCTGTTTTGGCTATTGTAAGTGCCGCGCACTTCATGCTTAAATGCTTCTTCTAGCCGCTACACCTTTGCACCTATCGCAACACTTTTGTGTTGCCTCAGGTACGAGGTTTTTGTGTTCGGCAATTCCTCTTGTATATTGCGCGTTGAAAAGTTAATATACTACTTACCTTACCAAAAAAAAAATACTACTCTTGGCCAAATCCATGGTAATCGTACCATTCGGGGCTGAATTAGACAAAGATGTTCGAAACATTGCCCACGAGTCCAACAAAATACCAAGCAACCATAATGCTTGTATTTCATCATCAAACTTGATACCCATCGCAGACAGCTGATTTATAATTCCTTGAAAAGAATTTAAATGATCAGTCAAACAAGTATCATCTTGATATCTTAGAGCCATCATCTGTTTTATTAGAAATAACTTGTTATTCCCAGTCTTTCGAGCGTACAATTGTTCGAGTTTATTCCACAAACTGTGTGCATGCGTTTTCTCAATGATATGATTCAAAACATTATCATCCACCCACTACCTAATGTAACCACACATTTGACGATAAAATATAGCACATTCAACATCAGTTTTATTCTTGGGTTTCTCATCAGCAAACATGAGTAAATACTAATCCTTCACGTACAAAAGGTCTTCCATCTTTTCTTTCCACAGGTAATAATTCGAACCATTCAATGTAACCATTCTACTCGTATTTGTTTCCATCATTTAACACAAGGCAGAAAAATCCAGCAATAACCAAAGCTCTGATACCACTTTGTCAGGGGAACAATAACAATTCGAATAATATCGAATTAGCGCAACGAAATAAAATAATCTCCCCTCTTGTGCAAACCTAATAGGAAACAACTGAATTGAGAAATATAAATACCAAGCATGCAAACACAAGGCGATTTTTTCCGCGGAAAACCTTCTTGATGTGAGGAGATCAAAAACCACGAGACCGGAGTCTACCCAAAAATCTTCACTATCGGCAAAACTACGTAAACAAAGTTCTTCTCTAATAAATACAAGAGGTACATAGCAGCAAAAACATCAAGAACATTATTCTTGGCAATAGACATGAACTTCACAAGAAATAAAAGGATAAATCTCACCAAAAATGCACTTTTGGTGCAACCCATGAAAACCTGAAGTAGGGAGCTTCAACTGAAAATCAAACTGATCAAATTCGAGAAGATTGCGGCACGAACACGCTGACAAAATTCCAGCTCAATCGGACCACAAATCAACCTCCAACGTCAGCATTAGATATATATCATCAAACTTAGATTTTCTACTTTGTCTTTCTCTTTTGTTACTGTGTCTATCAAAAAACGTTCTTTTTGCTGCCACGACATAATAATAGTGAGAAACCCTATTTCTCCATATGAATAGACATATGGGTTTAAACCTTGGGCTTGCAATTTATTGGGCTTCCTCCACATGGGATTGAACCCAGCCAACAGCTTACTTGATTGCTTCTCCAAAAACCTTGCTCCTGGCAATCCTAGCCCAGTTTTATATTAGCAGAAGATCTAGCATAGTTTACTTGAGACAACACGAAGTACTTACAGTGACTTCTAGCCCGAATCGTATTGAGTTTTCATTTCAGCCTGCTTCAATGGCGAACAAACGGCAAAATACTCGACGCTTGGAAGGCAGGACCGAACCATTAAAGCTTTAACTAAGTCACCCGCTCAAAAGCCACGACGCAGAGCAGCCAGTTATCCTATATATGAACCCAATGTGTGCAAATACATAGTGTTCGTGCTTCAAAATTCACAAAGCTTTTCATGTTGAACATCCCTTATGTGACAGAGGATTCACCCATCAGTTGCTATATCGCACAAAAAACTGGGAGTTATATCGAGACATCGCATTAATTGCAAGAAAAGCTTTAGCAGGGATCTGGCTTGCCACAGCAAACCAAAGCAGGCTGACAATCTCAATTCAACTCCCTCTTAAACAAAAGAAAAAGTCATGTTCAATTCAAATACAAAACAAAACCAAAGTGAATCATTGCAGTTTGTTCGTGTGCACTTCACCTGGTGATTTAATAATACTATTTGTCCCAAGTGAAGAAATCAAAAACAATTAAACAAGCCCAGCTGGAAAATTTGGTCATGTTTGTAACCAAAACCAAAAGTGTGGGCATATACGAAAAGAACCAGTGGCTTGCAAGAACCGGGCAATTATTTTTTATAAATGGAACCACTTACAATTTGACACTTGTCTCAAATAAAAAAATATTAAATCACATGTCTTTTTTCTCTCTCTCTCCCTCCTCCATCTAGCCACCGCCGTGCTCAAGCTCTGTGCTTACCTTGGCCGTCGCCACCAGCGGAGTCGCCGGCACCACGTCCAGGCCGACCACCGCCTTTCTTTGTGGTCGGCTCTGACTTCTGAGCATGACCTCTATTATGCTATTTTTCCTTTTGCCAGCTCGTCCATGGCATCTCACCATCAAGACCTGGGGCCATCGACGAGCCACCGTCCCCATATTTTAAGTCATGTGTCCAAATCTATAAGTTTGGCTCTGTTTGTGGTCTTACATGCATATTTTGTGGTTGGCTTTGTCAAGCGTCTTGGCCAAATCTAAGAGTTTTCGGCTCTGTTCACTATCGCAATCTCTATGGTCGGCCGCGTAAGGGTCGCAGTCATTGCGGTAGCTCGAGATCTATAAGTTCGGCTCTGTTTGTGGTCTTACATGCATATTTTGTGGTCGGCTTTGTCAAGGTCTTTGCCAAATCTGAAAGTTTTCGTCTTTGTATAGTATCGGCTACATGTAAGGGTCGCAGTCATCGGCGACTTCCGTCAAGTCAAGCCATTCCCTCTATTTTTCCGTCTAGCTCACAGTCTCCATTAGGATCGTCCAGGCTAGATTTGAAGACGATGAGGGAGGTGCGACAGTGAAGGTTGCACAGTAGTCACGATGCAGCGGTCGGCATTGAGGATGGAGGTTGCGGCAGCTTGCACAGTGGAGATGGCCGAGCCGAATTCTCAAGCGGCCGGGTAGACAGTGATCGGATGGAGGAGAAAGACACAGAAAAACAAGACTTTTAACTTTTTATTTGAGCCATGTGTCAAATTATAAATGGCTCATTCAGAAAAATGCTCGCCATATCAGCTATCAGCTATCAGCTAGTGACGGGACAACATTGAGAGAGTAAGATGGTTTTTCATCATGGCCTCCATCATCCTTCTCTCTTATAAAAACCTGAAGAACAATAAACAAGAGCATTGCAGAAACCGGAACAAACTGAAAATAGAAGATCCATATCCAAACAAAAGTAGCAAAGACCCACAATCTTCACAGAACTTAGAAACACAAAGTTTGGTCACTTCACATCAAATCCTTCTTTTCACCAAGCTAACCCCCAAAGCAAAATTAACAAAATCAAAATAGGTCAATTTGCGTCATAAGAGGACTGGTTGAGACAAATAATTAAATACAGAAGCAATCCTTCTTCTCTTGTTTGGTTATGACAAAATAATGCTGTTGCAATCCGACAGAACTGGTGTCTAAAAATGTTAAATTTGTCCCTTGAAGTAAGTTAAGAGAGAATAATAAGGGCAAAGAAACAAAAAAATTGAAGTGGAATTAAAGAAGGAAGGAATGCCTACTCATTCCTTTGATGGAATTAGGCATTTACTTCAAAATGCTTATTTCCTACACATGCCAAACAATGGAATGAAAATAAGTGCAGGAACAGCGATTCCATTCATTTCCCACTTCCCCGAAAACATGGCGGAAGTCCTAGCCCTTCTCCTACATCGTGGCTGCTTTTATGCTAATGTGTGATCACATAAGCAGAATTGAGAAGGAACGGCAAAGATTTCCCCCTCCAATTTTTCAAGCAAGCAAACAGAAGTACAGCGGTTGTGTCAGATTTACATATTTCAGCACCTGATGCATCAGCCAGGGATAACTGTAATTTCTATGTCTCATCATCCACAACGCTTTTGCTTTCTTGAAACAACAATGAATAGACAAAAGAAAAGGACCAAACGAAACAAGACAATTGTTTGACTCTTATTCGCCATTTGTATGGTACTGATCAATACCATCTATTGATTCAGTAATGGAGGAAACAATGTGTGTGTGTGTATAAACACAGGTATACACAGAAAAAGCCTCAGACCGTCCTAGTTCAGAAATTTCAACACCAAAAGCCAAGCCCATAAAAACTTGCCTTCAGGATTTTATTCCAATTCGTCATCACTGGCTTCTGTTTAAATTGATAATGAAAAACAAAACCAATACGATGAGAAAAATATCAGAGAAGAGAAGCATCAGATCTTCCTATTCAAAGTATTGAATCATTATACTCAAAAGCAGAGCATGAGTACTCAATCACTATAAAAAGCTCGTCATTTGCCCTCTTCAAAGACAGATCCTCCCACTGTACAAATTAAAACCATCTATAAGCAAGCAGGCAGATAAACACATTACCTGATAAAAAATATAGTAAAGGAGAGAAGATGGGAAAAACGGTGGTTTTGAATTCGCATCAATGGACGATATGAGGGTACTCCATTTATAGTGATGGTGTTCTAGGGTTCTCGGTTGCCATTGATTTGGACCAGAATGCCTTTTTTTTTTCTCTTTTTTTCTTCTTTTTCCAGTTTATCTTGTCTACTTTTGCAAATTCGGCGCTGGAATGAGGATGGGCCAATCTATTCCGGCGAATACAAGACATAAGTCAGGCCATGGACCGTGGTCAGTGATTTGAGGGCGGGGCTATTTCAATCCTATATGACTGAATCCACCTCATTTTCACTAAAAAAAACAAAGTTGCTCTCAATCATTCAATCCTATATGGAAACACCGGCATTAACAGGGATCTGGTTTTGGGACAGCACGTGAATGTAAACCAAAGCAGGCAGACAATTTCAATTCAACTCACTCTTAAACAAAACAAAAAAGAAAACCATTTTCAATCCAAATACGAAACAAAACCAAAGCTACCCAGTGTCGAATAATACCATGTTTCCCGAGAGAAGGAATCAAAACCAATTAAAAACAAGCCCAGCTGGAGAATTTGGTCGGCTTTGTAACCAAAACACAAGCGTTTGAGCTCAAGACAAAGAAACAGAGAGAGAGATGGGGAGAGAGGGAGAGAGCAGCTCAAAAGTGCTTGAAACACAATCATTGGGTGCTCCTCAAAGCAGTATTGAGAGAGTAAGATGGTTTTATCATCACGGCCGCAATCATCCTTCTCTCTCAACCAAACCCTGAAGAACAATCAACAACAGCATTGCAGAAACCGGAACAAACCGAAAAAACACAAAACACCCACCAAACCAAAAACAGAGCAACAGCAGCAAGAGATATGCAAAATTTAAAATTTAAAAAAAAAGGCCTTTTTTTTGTCAAAAATTTCCATGGGAATCGAGCGGCAATTGTTCGAGGCAGGCATTCAGTATGAGTAGGAGGTTAGAAAATCATCAAATTATTCATCAGATGATTTTTCTTCTCATCATCACCATGCCCAGCTACACACACACACACACACACACACCCAACACTATTACCCCCCAAAAAAACATTTCGAAAAAAAAAACATATAAAAAAAAAATATCATCCGCGACATGGGAATCGAAGGAGCTCCTCTCAGACAAATGCCTCTTTGTCGTCACGATTTTTTTTTAAAAGAATGGATTTCGATCGGACTCGTCATCATAAATTTGCTCATCACCGAGAAACTCCCCCGACTTGCTAAAAAACACGACAAGAACAAAGGTAAAAATCCGAACTTTAGCACGAACAAGGCCACCCCATAATTGAACAATGATGGAACAAAACACGATTGCATCGGGAACGAACCGAGCTCGGCCATAGGCAGAACCGGAGCAATCATAATTCAAACGCTGAAAAGCCCAATTTCGAATCGCTGCGGCTTTGAATATTCAAATCTGGCAACCTAGACGAAGAGAGAGGGATAGGGGGGGGGCATCGCATCGAGTACCTGAGAGAGAGCCAGTCACGAGGAGCTCAATGCCTCGGCCGGGAGCGCAAGGGGATGATGATGACGCCGTCGGATCTTTATAGAGCGCCGCGGGGGCGTGGATTCTAGGGTTAGGGTTAGGGTTCGCTTCACTTCGCTTCGGCCTCTCGCGAACTTCCTTCAAAAGGCCGAAGCGCAGGGGGTTGGGGGGGAAAGAGGCGGAACGGCGCCGTGGGCCAGCCCGATTGAGGCCTCTTGGCCCGATGGGCCCGTTCAGGCCCATCGGGCCGGAAGCGCGATGGGCGCCGGCTTGGACAAGCGTTTTCCAGTTTGGGCTCGAGTCCGGCCTCTCAGGGCCCGTCGGGCCCGCCCAACTCGGGAAAAGTAACAAAAAAGTCATAAACCTGTTGCATTGGTACCAATTCAGTCCTAAACCTTTCAATTGAACCAATTTAGTCTTAAACCTTTTTCAATTGGTACCAATTCAGTCCATCGGTACAATTTAGGCCAAAAATCGCTGACTTGGACGCCGGTGGTCCTACGTGGCATTGTCGGCGCTGATGTTGACAAATTTTATAAATTTTTTCATAATTTTTTTTCAGATTTTTTTAAAGTTTTTTTCTTTTTTTTCTTTTCCCAAAATTGGTTGGCCGGCGATGGTCACCGCGAAGGCCCCCGCACCCTCGCCAAGGGCCGAAACCCTCGCTCGCCATAGGCAAGGACGTCAGGCCGTCGCTCAGATCCAGGCGAGGACGGTGACGCCCTCCCTGGCCAACAGACAAGGGTTTCGGCCCTCGCCTGGATCTGGACAAGGGTGTCGGGCCCTCGCCTGTGGCGAACGAGGGCGCGGAGGCTTTCGCCCAGACTAGCCTATGGCCGGCAACCAGTTAGGGAAAAAGAAACGAAAAGAAAAACAAAAGAGAAAAAAACATTATAAAATTATAAAATTTGTCAACGTTAACGCCGGCGGTGCCACGTAGGACCGCTGGCGTCCCCCAATTTAAAAGGTATCGGGTTTCTGCTGCGCATTCCCGACATTATGTTAAGAAGGAATACGAGCTTGCTATTGAATTTAATAGGGAAAAAAAAACACAAAAATTTCTGCTAAGCAATATGGGCAGACACATGATGAAACCGAGGTGGCATCATCATCTGGTCCACCCCCAGGTTTCTGGCCCCAAGAAAAACGTTCCTTTGACGGGACTCCAACGCGGCAAAGAGAAGTCACTGCAGAAAACATATATTTCTCGGGTGAATTCCCTAAAAAACCCCCCAATTTTAGGTCAAGTCCCAAATCTGTCTCGAACTTTTTTTTGTCTCAAAAAATATTCCAAACTTTACGTTCAATCCCAAATTTGCCCCGAACTTTTTTTTATCTCAGAAAAAATCCCAAACTTTAAGTTCAGTCTCAAATCGCCCAGACCAGGCGAGGGTTGCCAGCCCTCGCCTGTGGTCGGCGACTCATTGGCCGACCAATTCTGGGAAAGAAAAAAAACATTAAAAAAATATGAAAAAATTATTTTATAAATTATAAAAAATTTCCACGTCAGCGCCGGCGGTGCCATATAGGACCGCCAGCGTCCATGTCAGCGATTTTCGGCTTAAATTAGCCGGATGACTGAATTGATACTAATGCAAAACGGTTGAAGACTCAATTGGTCCAATTGAAGGTTTAGGATTGGTATCAATGCAATAGGTATATGACTTTTTTGGTATTTTTCCTGCCCAAATCCTATCAATTTATTTTGATGAAGAAAATGTTCCCTTTTTTTTTTCTATCTGAATGGCGGGTTATAATTATTATGAAATAGTTCCGTGTACTGTACCGAAGCTTGCGGAGCCTATGCTGGCGAGAAACGAACTTCCGGACCGACTACAAGACTACGAACTACAATCTAAGTCATGAGTGATAGCGAAACCAGAGGCATTCCAGCTTCAGAGGCAGGTGAGCCGAGTCAAGAAGGAGTTCAATTGCAACCTCTGGCTGGGCTAGTTTCAGAGTCTCGATAAAAGATGACGAACTTTCATTAGGAATAAACGTATCATAAGCATACCAGTTTGGGATTTTTGATAATAATTCGAGGTAAATATATCTCGAGTGTATTCGATATTAGATAGAAAGCATGCGCTCCATTCAATTTAATAGAAATTTGAATAAATTTTTTTTAAAAAAATTTTGGTGCTAGTGGGTAGTCAATTGAAAGCTCCCCTCTACAACTTTCCATTCCACTTTCCCCATTGGTTTTTTTTTAATTTCTTTTTTTTTCTATTTTTAATGATAGTGGTGCACATGTTCATTTTCAATATTACCTACCACGTAATCACGAAGAAAATATTCGATGGTGAGGGATTATTGGATATTTCGGGGATGGAATCAATTCAAAAGTTAGCTTTTACATAGGATAGAGATCGAAAGTGCTCGTGGAGATGAGAATAAATAGGGGCCGAGAACTAAATAATGTCATATAATATTCATAATGTTCATAGAACCCCACAAGATACTATACGAATTGTCCAAGGTAACATAATATCATTCCCAACATACTCATGTGTTAAGAGCCCGTCAACATATTCAATTTGACCCATATTTACTCAAAAGCTTAGAATTATGGGCCAACTTGGATGTATTATATATTCCACACCACATCAATTTATCGATATGAGACTTCTAACACAACTCACACGTATGATCCTCCTTAATTCAGATATCTTCGGCACGACCATGTCTTAGCTTGAATCTCCATCAATGCCCAGTGCCCAAGAAGCGGGTTGGTCACCAAATATCCTCCTTGAGATATCTACCAAACACCGGAATAGATTGGGGGGCCACTAATCAACCATCGACTATGATAAGAGTGTGCGCGAGCGGCTCTGATATTACCATTCATTGAGAACCTTCACACGGGGAGATTGCCAAGAGGAAGTGTGAGTCCGAGCCCATTGATATTTCCAGTTGAACCCGCATTTACTCAAAAATTTAAATCAATGAATTATGGGCTAATTCGGATATATCAATAGCTCCACATAGCACCAATTCTCTGATATGAGATGTTTTGAACACAACTCACACGTGCACATCAACGTTATTAAGTTTTTCACCTAATTGGGGTTACCATTAGTCAATTTGAATTATAAGACAATATATAAATAAGACGGACCAATTTGTGGATGATTAGGAAGGACACCACAATTTTTTCTTGGGCCAAAATCTCGATAATAACCCGCATTAAAAAAATAAGATGAGGCTTAATATATTAACACCAGGACTCCATTGATGATTCAGTGTTTTGTGACAGATTATAATCAATAATTGCAAGAACTCGTCCATCTCATATGACTAACCAACCACTAAATCCATAAATTATGATGCGGACGCCAACCACGTGTACTTTGATCTTGATTACTGAAACGAGATTTTTATTGGAACTAAAAAAATAATTGTTCTGAAAGAAGAAGTCTCGGCCGAAACGGAAAAATAGAATCACGTGGTCCAACTATTTGTTGAGATGTCTCCATTACTGCCGTTCGCACTACAGATAGAAAAAAAAGGGTCTATGCGCCGACTCCCGTACCTCGACTTCTTTTTATGATTCATCAAGGATGACGCATCATGCTATGTGTTAAGATGCACGTGTGAGTTGTTTTAAAGAAGACCCAACATCGGAAAAATTGATGTGGTACGAAGGAGTTAATATATCATAATTGACTCATAACGCATTGGTTTAAGTTTTTGAATAAATACGATTTCAACTGGATATTTTAATGAGTTCGGACTTGGACTCTCCTTGGCGACCTTTATGAGAAGAAGGTATCGGTTTTTTGCTGCATGTTCCCGACGTTATGTCAAGAAGGAATACGAGCCTGCTATTGAATTTAAAAGGGAAAAGAAAAAAACACAAAAGTTTCAGCTCGAGAGTCCTAAGCAGTATGGCCAAGACACATGATGAAACCGAGGTGGCGCACCATCATCTGGTCCACCCCCACGTTTCTGTCCCCCCCACGAAAAACGTTCCTTCGACGGGACTCCAGCGCAGCGAAGAGAAAGTCACTGCAGAAAAAAACATATATTTCTTTATCTGCAATCATGACGAAGCAAGAAAGAAGGGGGAAAGAAGAAGAAGAAGAAGAAGAGAGCAGTTGAGCGCTCTCCATCTCCCGCTTCACCTGACTACGTTTCTCAGTCCCACATCACCTTGCATGGCGACAAAAGAGCAAAAGCGCAGAACTAATCATCGTTCATCGATCTTCTTCCTTCTTCTTTCTTCTTTCCTTGTCTTCGTCTTCGTCCCTATTCCCACTCGAAAGCTAAGCTTGGGGGGGGGACCAGGACAGGAAGTAATAGAAAGCAGCGCCACCCAACTGCGACCCCTCGAAGAATTCGCACCCCAAAAAAGCTTGAATTTTTCTCTCCCACTTCCATACCGCCAACAAAGCGAGAGCCACGAAAGTAACAGTAAAACCTGCTCCACTCAGGGAAAGAGGAAAGTTGGTTTTTCTTCTTTTCCTTCTTTATTTTATTTGAGTGGAATTTGGTCGGTGAAGAGCGGATTTACGTGTGAATTAGGTGCGCGGCACATGTACACATTTACCGCCCTAAATAGGGAGGATCTCGAAAGCCAAATCTTGACGAGTTTAGAGTGGCGACCGTGTTGAAGACCGCAATTTTTTTTTCCGGTAGCTTGGGATGTTCTTTTCGAGCGACACCCCGATGTCGAGAGATCAAATGGGGAGCAAGTGTTTCGAGAAAATCGACGTGTCGGTTAATCCACAATCCCTTTCAACTTTATCGTAAAGGTCCAATAATAATTAACACGGGGACGTTCGTATTAAATGATATGTCGGGATTATCTCACATCAATTGTAGATGGGACCGTTTGGTCAGTTTATAAGCACGAGGGAAAGCATCACCTATTGAGCTAGCTTTTGAGGTGAGAGAGGCCCGAAACCATCCAACACGATAACTATTCAGTCCGTGCTTAAACGTACGGACCCCTTTGAAACGGTACCATCGGAGTATCACGAAGATCCGGAAAAAAGGGTACGCGAAAATCACTCGCTACGCCGGCAAATCGGGGCCCGGATCACGCGAGCTCATAGAAGAGAATACTAATCTCGTACCACCGGCACTAGAACTCGCACCAGAACTCCCTCCCCCCTTTCGAGCGGAACTTGGTCCCTGTAGTTTTACCTAAACAGAGAAGAAAAAGTCGGTACAAGCAGCCACCGATAGTTTCTTTCCACACCCACTTTTTTGACGCTCCGACGACCCTATTGGTCGGACCTAGAATTGCAATTATTGGCATCACTTCCGCATTACAAAACCGAATTATTCGTCACATAATTTCGCATGTCCTAGCCTCTCCAAATGTCGGACACGGCCGAAATTACGTTCGTCCCCCATCGTGATTCTTGCATTGGCGGAAAGAACGGTCCGACAACTTCGACAAATTTCACCCGAAAGACCGTCGAAAAGCGTGCCCCCCTCCCCTCCTCCAAAGGCTGCCCGATTTTCAAAAGAAGTGACGAGTGAGCCCCATTTGCTCCATCTTTTTGCTCCCGCTTTGATCACCACACATTGTTCATGCGGGAAAATGCACAATAGTCTCGACTTTGGCGTGTGCGTTTGATCCTTTTAATTTGTTGATGTAGTCCTAAACTTTAATCTAATGTGCAATGTGGTCCTGAACTTTTAATTTGTTATGTCATCCTGAACTTTTGTACATGTCATTCGGTCCACTGAATATATGAAAATGTTATGCGTCATTTTATTAATCAAGTTCAAGAACTACATTGAACATTTTCAATAGTTCGTTAAATGAACATGTCAAAGTTGGGGATGACATGAACAAATTAAAAGTTCGGGGACCACATTGAATATTAACTTAAAGTTCAGGACTACATTAACAAATTAAAAGTTCGGGCCAAATTACATATTGGATCAAAGTTTAGGATGTTTGTGTTATTATCCCTTCATGCAAATTTTCAAATGGCAAAATCGTGCTTGGATGTCAACCTAGATTTCCATCGCCTCAAAAGACGCATTGAATATGGCGCCATCCCTATAATCATTAACACCATCATCAATTTGCTCTTTTTCTCTTCTTAAGTGACTTTATTGGAGCATTCGATGGTTCGACTAATTTTGGTGTTGGGACCATCTGGGATTTGGATCGATTCGTCGAGTGAAGAAGGGAACTGTTTAGGTCTTACAAAACGGCACCGTCCCACGTCCATTGCGTTGGTAACTACAAGAGGGGAGTAAGGGTTCGGTTCTTTCTTTCTCTCTTTCTTTCTTTAGATAATATCGGGCGAAAGCCGATCCCGAAATATTGTGAATGGTTCGATAGGACTGGGGACGGAAAATGTTGAAATTAGCTCGTTTTGATGGAATCTGGGGCACGGCGGAAGGGAAGACCTATGAATAAAGAAGGTGTTTGCCGGGATCTTGGCTTGTGGCATGGAGATCATTTTCGGTAGGCAAAAGTTCTTTCAACAGGAAATGACATAAATTGATTCTGAACTTTAGTCAAATGTGCAAGATCGTTTCTAAACTTTTAATTTGTTAAATATGGTTGATGAACTTTGATCTAATATATAATATTGTGCTTGTACTTTTAATTTGTTCAATGTGGTCCTCGAAATTTGATATAATGATCAATATAATCCATGAACTTTTAAACATTTCCATATAATTTAGGGTCTACATTGAATATTTACCAATAATTTAAGGATCATATTTAACAAATTAAAAGTTTAAGGACGACAAATTGCACATTTGATCAAATTGTAAGGACCCGCTTCAAACAAATCAAAAGTTCAAGAACCACATTACACATTGGACCAAAGTTTAGTGATCATTTGTTCCATTATCCCTTCTTTCGATAGTTAGGAATCGAGAAGCTTGTTCAGATTATGCGATGGCGCACGAGTTGAAAAGATCGTGACCCGCAATCTCTTAGTTTGCCCAATTTTGGCAAATGAATCCTAATCTCAAAGGTGCTTTAAGCCAAACCTTCACATTTCACAACAAACTTTAATTTTTTCTCGTTTGCTCCTCTGAATTATTTGGCATTCTGAAAGAACGAATTGAGATACAATTTCCACCGTACCAAATCGGATTTTAATGCTCACATGAACTTTGATGCGCGCGCGTAACAATTTCTCCGTGCCCTAAAGATGCAACATACATGATGACGGGTCGGACTATTACGATGGCGGCGTTCGGGGGAGGTTACGACCCCGGCACGGAGGAGGTCCGTCAATGGCGATGCCGGTGCCTCCCCTTCCTCGTATCAACCACCGTCGGCTCATGTGAGTCGCACACCTGGGTCTTGAACTTGCACCCGAACTTTCTCGTCAACGACCCTCTCCACCCTCCGTTGGCGCGACCAACGCCGCCGCCGCCGTCGTCGCTGCCGTCCTTGTCGATCTTCTCGATCGCCTTCTTCATCGTCGAGCACTCCCTCTCCAGCTGGTGGACCCTCGTCCGCATGCTGTCCATGTCCAGCCTCAGCACCTGGTTCTCCCTCACCGCCGACCTCCACGTCGCGCTCACGCTCCCCTGGCCCGCCGCTACCGCCACCGCCACCGCCATCTCTCCTGCCGGCTCCTGCTCCACCACCTCCGCATCCTCTTCTTCGTCTCCATCGTCGTCGTCGTCGTCATCGTCGTCGCCACGTCTCGATTCCGACTGCCGGCCCGGCTCCAGCGCCGCCCCCGTCTCCGCCGCGAGCAGCGTCCCGGCGATCGCGTGGCGGAGCTGGAGCTGTTCGAAGAACAACACCTGCTCGACGACTAGCGAATTGAGTACCCGACTCGATTCAAACGATTCATAGTATCAAACTGTTGATGATCGAGAAATCGAACGCCATTGATGGCCGGCCTACCTGCACCACCACGCGCAGCGGCAGCCGCTCGTTCTGCGCGGCGTGCGTGCACGCCTCGAGCGTTAGCTTCTGGCAATCCATCAGCCCGCAGATCTTCTCTCGCTCCGGCTCCGATATCCATGGATGCGCCTGAACACAACAAAGCTCCGATCATCATGTTCCTACTACAATTGCCGAAATTAGCTACCGAAGTCTGCTCGAAAACCTCGACTAATTGAACTCGAACTACCTTGAGATAGACGTCGACGGCGCGGTAAAGGCCGTCGTCGTAGAGCCTGGCCCGCTCGGGGAGCGAGATCGCGAAGCCGTAGAACTTCTCCGGCTTCAGGTTCGCATCGGAGGCGATCTCCGAGAGGTAACCGTCGATCAGCTTCCCGACCAGCATCAGCACCGGCGACCTCTCGAGGCGGCCGTCGGCTCCGGCGGCGTCCAGGAAGTGGCCGAGGATCCTCTCGACACAGTCCACGTCGTAGAGAGTCTCTACCAGGTAGGAATAGCTCGGGATCAGGAGGTCGTCGAGCGTCGCCTCCTCCAGCTGCAACCCGACCTTCCTCTCGAGCGACGCCCGGCAATCCTCCGACGCGTTCAGGATGATCGCCGTCCGGAGGAGGCCGAACAGAAATCTGGTGGTCGTCGTCGTCGGCCCCGAAGACCGCGAGGCCGTCTTCTCCGGCGGTAGGCTCGCGATGATCGTCTCCAGGAGCTCTCTCTGTTCGCTCTCCGAAGGTGCTGAAGAAGCAGAGGAGGACGACGGCGGCAATGCCGGCTTCCTGCTGGATCGCGAGACGCCCGGGATGTACCGCTTCGCGTAGTGCATCAAGCAGGTCTCGACGAATTCAGAGCTCAAATCGGCCTCTTTCATGGCGGAGATCAGGCGCTTGAACAGAGGCAAGCTCAGCAGCGCCAAATCCTCGAGCCACGAGTCCGCATTGTTCCCTCTCGCCTCCCTCTTCCTCCGGTTGTTCGTCTCGATCCCGTTCCACAGCACCTGGCTCGCCAGACCGCGGCCCAGATTGGCTCCGTCGCCGACGGGCCAGCCGAACAGCGACGGATCGGCGGCGGAAGCTTTGGCGACTATGGCCTCCACGCATCGCTGGGGAATCTCCAGCGACTCCGCCAGCGGCGCCGCCACCCGGTCGCACGACCTCAAGGCCCGGATCGAGTCCTTCAGGCTCTTGAGCACCGACTGAGACAGGAACCTCTCCGTCTTGGAGATGAGGTTGTCCTCGGAGTAGTCCTCGGTCATGTCGAGGAACTCGCCGGCGCAGCGGAGGGGCGCGGCGTTGAGGGCGGAGAGGTCGATCTTGACGCCGTAGCAGAACTTGGCCGCCATCTCGAAGGTCTCGGATCCGCCGGGGAAGTCCTGGAGCGCTATGTGGCACTGCTGCACTTCCTCTATCTCGTCCCCATCGCCCTCGCCCTCGCCGCCGCCGCCGCCGCCGCCGCCGCCGTCGCCTTCCTCGTCGCGGCGTCCCAAGGCCTGGGTCGCGGCGGCGGGGTTCGCCTCTTGCTCCGTGATCAGCTGGTGGAGCTTTCTGCTTTTCGACATCAGCGGGAACTGAAAAAAAACGAAACAGAGACGTCTCGCGTTAGCGTTTGCAGCGCTGAGAAACGATGGGCCCCCAAAAACAGAGGAGGAGGGTTCATCGCATGGCGGACCTTGTGCAGGTGGAACGTCATGTCGTCCACCTCGACCACAATGTCGCTGGGCAACCCAGTGGTGCAGAACCTGCGAACAAGGAAAAGAAAACCCAGAAAAAAAGTGGTGGTCGGCGCCTCTGTTTTTTCCCGCGGGGAAAACGGAAGAGAAAATCTGCAGGAAAGACAGAAGTGGGGGGGCCGCGTTTTCAGGGTACCATGCTTGGCCTCTGGAGCTGGTCTTCTCAGCAGCCATTTTTCCCGGGTTCTTTTTTTTCCTCGGGGAGAGAAGATCTCGATCTGCACTTGGGGCAATGCTTCCTCTCACAGATCCATCAGCAACGGCGGCATCTGCATGGATCTCTCTGACGGCGGAAGCCCGAGGAAGATCGAAGCTTTGGTCGTGCAAAAACAGAGCAGAGATAAAAACACGAGGAAGAAAAACAGGGGAAGGGGAGGGAGGGAGAGAGAGAGAGGGGAAGTGGAGCGCAGGGGAAGACACAGAACGGACAAAACAGAGGGGTTCTAAACAAAGAGAAATTCCACTTTTTCTTTTTAGCGAAAGAGGAGGGGGGGATCGAGGGATGATTTCTTTTTTCGTGTTTTCTCTTTTGCTTTTTCCCTAAAATCTCCTTTTTGCTTTGGGGGAAGAACAACAGGAGTCAGAGGCAGAATCTCACCCACTTCCCCCCACTCCCTCTTCTTTCTCCTCTCCAATGTCAAAAAGCCAGGAAGAGAAAGGGGAGGGGAAGAGAGAGAGAGAGAGAGAGAAGGAGAATGGCAAAGTCTCTCTTTGAGAGTTCTTTTCTCTTGCTTTTTGCTGAGAAGATAGAGGGCACTCACCATCATCATTATCCATTTAGCTTAGGAAACTTTGGCAGATCAGTGCTGAGATGCACGTAAAAATTGCGCTAGAAAAGTGTTCGTATCGGTGAATTAATGTGTTGTGGAACAGTTAACATAACTTAATAGCTTAACTTTTTTAGAAAAGCTTTGGACAATGATTTCTCCGAACGAAGATATCGGGTTTCTTCTGCTGCGTGCTCCCAACAATCAGTTCTACACTATATTGAAAGGCGAATTTAGGATTCGTAAGGGATCGCAATTTCTCAAATGTTCTCATAATTGCTATGTAAAATGCCGTAAACATATTGGCATATGACTTGCACGGTTGCACGCATTTCTCGCCAGTTGGATTTGATACCTATTCAATGCTCGGAAAAAAAGTGAGACGTAGACAAACAAGAAGAACGATCAATGTTCAATGTACCGATCGGGAACGAAAACATGTGTTATTACATTTTGCCTTAGCAAGTACATACACAAAGTCACTTTTTTTTTTCTGGCCAATGCTTCGCTACTACACTAATCTAGGCATGTACTTCCAAATCACCTTGTTTATCCAAGCGATTTAGTGCACCTGCTTGTCCCAAGGCCATAGCCATAGGTCATGTCCCTCTCCTACATGTTTTGATTACGAATACAAACTTTGTTTTGCCTAATATGAAAGACAAGAAAAAGAAGAAAAAGACAGAGATTTCATTACATTATTGTTTCCCTATTTTTCTCGTGCCTATGAAAGCTTTTGTTTGTTTGTATTTTTTCCAAAGGAGGTCCTTATTTTAAATTTGAAGTGATGGGCACGAAACTTTCTATGCGACCCATCAATGTACTGAACAATTCCTTTTCTTGAAAAAAAAAATGGTGATTAAAGACTTTAAATTCACCAGAGGGTTCATCAGTTTGTACTATGTTGAGCTCTCCCGTATTCATACATCCATCCACTTCTCATCTTTGTCTAGTTCGAGGGGTTTTCCTAGTGATGCAACTCACAAGTCCAAGGCTTGTGTCTACTATGATCTTAATTATCAGACTTGGATCTCAGAAACGATAGTATAGACATCTGACTTGGAGCTTATTACGCCTCGGTCTGATGTGTCTTGTCGCGTATTAGACAAGTAAGTGGTCCTAATTCACGTGCATAGTCAAGATAATCGGTGTATCTTACTGTTATGCCACAAGATCCTTTCACGACATTGATTGGAAGACAGATGATGAATTCGGACATTCGGGGTAAAAGCCAATTATGCCTGCCCCTACCTCGCGCAATGCTTTTGTTGCACAGAGTTGTCTCTTCCTTTTTGAAAATGGCCCAAAGTCTTTGTCAATATAGAATTGCAAGACTGTTGCTACCGCTAACGAGAGGACGAGACAGAAGGGCTTTTGCCGAAGGCCAGCTCCCCTCTTTCTCTGCGTGGTCGATTCCCGGGTGGGTCATGACGGGGTTCCTGGGTTTCACATCGTAGGTCTTGGTCGGACCGATGTGCGTTTTGATTCGTACCATGAACGTGGTAGGGGGGTGAATAATGCTCACAGACGCCTCATGACCCCATGTAGGGATTAGACTGCTCAAGAACCTCATGAATGCTGGCCCCTGTCAATCTTTTTTGCGTCTCAGAACTTGCCTGATTCTTACTACCACACCAGCAATGAATTCGAGCTCGGGTCTTTTGCTTGTTTTTGAACGTTTCTCACTGGCGGTCCTAATCCGAATCCGAAATGCTCCATTGAATTCCACCTACCAGCAACGGGCGACCCATTACTGCTCCTGCATTTATGGTCTTATTAATGAGGTGGTGATAAAGAGAATCTGAGCAGAACCGGAATGCCCCCACAGCATGGCTTGGTGACTAGGCTTGTCAACAGGCTTCGGAGGATAGTACTAAGAACGGCCCTTGAAAGCCATAATTAGCGTATGATTAAGCCATGAGCTGTGCTTGTACATGGCTGTGATAATGACCATAACGATGATTAGGGGAAAGCAAAGGAACCCCACCCGATGGAAGCTGGACGTGGCCAGATGGTCCGAGTGCAACTTGGATGTCGTGGTAGATAGGGATGCGTAAAATTCACGCGAGGAGGCCTTTTGGTTTTTGCTCAAGTTCACGTGCTTTTGGTGGCTAATCATTGGGTAGGATAAGCTGGACAAAAAGCAAGAGGGTGGGCGGGTTTTGGGAGCAAACCCTTGTGTGTTATCTGCACGTAGGGTTCTTCCCTTCCAGGAACAAGACACGGAGACAGTATAAGGCCAACGGTTTGAAGCCAAAAGACCCAGAAACAAGAACATGCTTTGCTCCTATAATCTGTGCCATGGCCATGTTCTCTCCTACTAATCCTCTCTCGAATCCTAGAATCTGAGTGGGTTTTAGGGCAACTTTTTTAGCGCCTGAATTTCAAAACCTACCTCTCTCTCTCTCTCTCTCCCCGTGAGTCTGTGTGGGGGCATGCTGTCATGGGGTTATCTTAAGACAACATCAAGTGGGTTTTAAAAACAAATGCTAAAAGAGCACGAGAACCACCAGAAACCGTCCAAGAAAAAGCACCAGAAATCGATGATTGAGTTCATGCATTATATATTAGCACAAGGCACTCTGCACAAAGCTTCAACTTTTGAATATTGTACATGCATATGAGTAGCACACACTGATTCGAGCATTATTGGTCAATTTACGTTGACCACGCTCAAACCCCATCATTATTCCGTCTCTGTCTACCGGCACACCAGCCTTCTAAGCCAAGCATCGAAAAATTAGAAAGTGCGTAATAAAACAAGGACACGATGGTATCCACACTGCTACGTTTCTTCTCTCTCCGTTACTTCGTGCTTCTGATTTCATTAGCCCCACCAAGACCCCAAGAACGTTGGGACTTCTTGCATCTTGGGGAGGTCTCTCACGCCTTACTTACCTGCACAAAGTGAAATCATAGGAACATGGTGAAATTGCACAAATTTCTCGTTTTGGCGAGCAAAAAGATGAGAATAAAGATTGAAAATAGCATGACCTTTTGTACATTTTCAGTCGAAATGAAAATTAAGGAGATGTCTATGAGAATTAAAAACACACCATTCAGTTGTGCTCTTACATCAGATCGGCCTCTAAAGTCGTAAACTGGGGTAAAAACTAGTGCACCTAAGCAAAATCAACATTGATTCACGGCCTTGGGGGTTACCTACCTGAGGTAAAACTTCCTCTGCCCTAGAGAAAAAGAAAAACGAAAAACCAACACGGATGCTGTTAAGAGTGACATGCCAGATAATCACATCTCCTAAGCAAACTTCCAATTTCTTTTCGCCCCAATCTATGTAATTTCTATGAAAGATCACGTATACGAAACCGTACCGGCGGAAGACGAAGCCGATGCTTGCCCCACCGACGGCGAGGGCATTACGACGCCGGGCCACGAGTTGCACATGCAGTGCTTGCCCTCCTCGATGCTCTTGTAGAGGGTGGTCAGGTGCTTCCCGCAGCCGCCCCAAGTGTACTTCCCACACTTCTTGCAGTCAACCCTGTAGCACATCGTATCGACGCTTCTACACAATTTCACAAGACACTTTCAATGTAGAACTCATGATATTCACTTCCCCTCAATACCTCTCCATATATAGCGAATGCCGCATCATGGGAATCATCGAGCTCCCGTGTCTTTACTGAAACAACTAGTCTCTTTGTTCATATCTTCCGAGTTTTTTCTGCGCACAATGCACCATTGTGACTCACACTGCTTTGTCCACTTGATCAACGTCCTTGTCTGGTCGCTTGAAGTCATGGATTAGGTTAAATCCTCGTTAACTCCATCAAGAATTGGACAGTAACATATGTTGGCTTGTGGGTTGTCAACAAGACGCTATGGCATTGTAAGAACCTCATCAGCTCAGCCATTATTCTTATCATCCTTCTTTATCAGTACAAGTTCTCGTGGCACAGGAAACAGCCGACAAATCTCCAACAAATCTCCAATGGATGTCGATGAGCGCAACGGAAGGCCAATGAAATTCGCAGAAGGGACCTACTCTTCTTTGTTCTTGACAAGTTTCTGTCTGTTCTTATTTCCGCAGCATGGCATAGAACTAAAAGATCACTCGTGGACAATCTTGCAGACAAAACAGAATGGCCTTACGTCACATCACTTTTCCGTTATCATGTGTTTGCTTAGAAAAAGGCTCACTCGCTACATCAAAATCAAAATTCCCTCTTCGGCGATAAGGCAAAAATAATATCTACTTTGTCCTTGTTACTAGCAAGTGCCGTATGCCTTTCGTCAACCTTGAAGAGTCCGCACCACATCGAGCAGATTCACAGCCCTCGGAACTCCCGTCGCATCGTACATGGTACGTGCCTTGACGAATTTGAAAGTTCCGACGTGCAATCACCCCTTAATTTACTCTGGAATGATCCATTAAATCTAGGAAAACTTGGGGGCCGGTTCAAGACCGAGTGTTTCGACTTACACGAGAACAGTTCAACAGCATGATCTGGACACTATGTTCACGCACACGCAATACTCCAACAAAGG